GGCAGGGACGCGCGGCCGGCCTTCAGCCCTCACCGCACATGCTCCTGGGCCACGGAGCGCTGAGCAGGAAAGGAATCTGGTTTGTGGCTTTCTACTCTTTCACAGATGTGTGAGTAAATCCTAAATTAAGAAGTCAGGTTATGTTTCATCTGATGTCAGTCTCGCATATCCTATTTTTGGAGTAACTTGAGTGATTCATTTATCACTCGGGGAGGGGGGCGTTTCCTCCGTGACTGGAAAAGCAGGTGTGTTAAATCCTGGACAAAGATTTTTTTCCACCAAAATATCCTTGTTACATAACTATTAACAGAAAGCAAAGACTTTGAAAGCTATCAGAATAAAAGTTAAATTCCTCTCTCAAGGAAGGCATCAATTTCTTGATTTTCCTCTCATTTTTAAAGTAAGACCATTTTTATAGGCTGTAATAACAACTCTGAAAATACTGCTTTTAAGTCTATCAAGCAAAAGTGACTCAAATCCAGTTATTTTTTTCATTTCCAAGTCACCTTTCAGGTAACGTTATTTTGCATCATACTTTATTTAGGTTTAATCTTACAAAAGGAAAAGGAAGTTCTTCTGTATCAATTTTTTTTATTAGTTAGGATATTAGTATCAAAATAAATAGATGACCTTGAGATCACAGGTCAATGTTTAAGCTAACCATGGCCAACTTAGAAATACATCTGGTCTGTGGGGATACACAAAGTGAATAATTATGCCACATTTTGTGGTGGCTTATAGTATGTCTCAGCAAGCCAGTGGTTATATAACCTCAATGTTTTAAACTATGAAGATTAAATTCCAGACGTGAGCAGACTTCATTTGAACTCTGGCATGTTAATTCAGAGAGTAAATTGCAAACGTTACTGAAAATATTCACCAAGCTGAATATATTTTGAGGATTTTGATAGTCAAACAGTGCTAGGAAAAAATGTTAAACACTGTGAACTTGAATCAACTTTTTGCTTAGATACCACTTCACAACACAAAGCTTTATATGTTTTTTTCAGAAAATAAAATCAGATGATTTAATGCAATAACCTGACTCAAAACATGATTGGGTAAAAACTAAAAGAGCGTACCTATTTTTATATACTTTTAAATATCTCTCTTCTGAATTAATACTTATGCCATAAGTTACTGCATATGTAATAATTCTAGAAAGAGTGATTTCAAAATCTTATGTCATGCATTAAGTGGTCTCCATATACTAGTGTGTCCTGACCACAGTTTATAAACCCAGCTAAAGATTTGGGCAAATGTGCACTGAGCCTCTAAAAACTGGGGGTGAAGTCCTGACTGTTGAAGTGAAACAAAATTTTACTGCTGGCTTCAGTACAGCCAGGATTTTTTCAGCTTCTGATTATTTCTGGAAAATTACCATTTTTCCAATGGTTTCAGCTTAAACATCTAAAAATTAAGCCCTGCAAAAATTTCAACCTTAGAAGCCTCAGCAGAGTATATAAAATTAGACTAATGGGAAAAAACAAATCCTAACTGCTCAGAACTTCCAGGAGCTTTGAAAGTCAGGTACTTATTTCAAGATACAAGATTTAGGCATGCAAATTTGAAAAAGAATGGCCTTTCACACACATGAAGCATATCAAGAGAGCTTTAAAGTATTTGTCCTACTTCTGGTTTGTAGATAGCTGAACCTCCAGGTTCTTTCACTTAGCCCTAATTTTTAAGTTCACTAATTATTCCTATGTCTGCCAAATGTGCGAGGATAAGATCCCAAGCATGTCTGGATATATTTTTAAATTCAGAGCAATATAGAAACATTGATCGTTTTATGGTGATCTCTAGCAATTTTAGGAGAAAGCAACTGCAGCTTGTATCACAGCTATACAAACACAATATTTAGCTTCTCAGTGATGCATGAAAAGCCTAATTCCAGCTGATGAGAGAGTTCCCCAGGGCAACAGGAATCCTTCTTTCTCTGCAGCTCTCCAAAAAACACCTTTACAAGCCCCAGGCAGAGCAAGTGCCAGGAGCCAGACAGCATTGGAGCCATTCTGGGTAACCTCACAACCACTGGAGCAGGCCAAGAAGCTGCTCTAAAACATGGTAAAATGTGACAGGCATTATCACAGCAACCTCTGGACTACAGGTCCTGTTAGTTACCTGTTAAGAGTATGCCTACACAGTAAAGAGTAGCAATCAACCGATACTACTGAGCAGGCTTTGCACAAGCTAGCCCTGGAGTAGGAAACAGTATAGCTACTGCAATCTGGCTCATTAGTCATGCTGAGAGGTTAACTACCAGAACTGGGAATTAAGGCTGATTAGGCCGGAAGCTGTACACACTGACACTGTTTCTGGGACCCAGCCTAGTATCTCTGCATGGCAATGTGATGAGCCATTCAGCTGTATCAGTTCATTCAAAACTAGCTCAGATCTCGGACCTTCATTATGCAGTGTAGAAATATGCCTAGAGAACAAGCACAAAATCTGACTCACAAGGTACAGCTCACAATTATCTGACACACTGTTAATAGCCGTTAGTTCCTCAGTTAAACTAAACAAAGCATTTTGGGGAGAGTTGGATGATGTACGTACTGAAAAGAAGTGGAAGAAATTTTTAATGATTCCAAAATTTCTGGAAAGACAATAAATATTTTTCAATCAAATTTGGGCATCATAATATTATTTTAAAACATAGAATCAATTGAAGGTTTAAAATCTATATAATATAGGTTCAAAGCCTTCATATAATGCCTTTTATACAGCTCTCTTCATATTATAGAATTCTAAAATTTAAATTCAAAGCTTGTTTCTTGCTAACAATTTTCAGTGGCTTTATTAGTATTTCATTTGAAATAGGGGCATAACCGTTTTCAAGACTGGTTTCAGAATGCCAGTTTGCTTTTAATCAATCTATACTTCTAAAAATAGAAGTTAGGTTCACATATGTATGTAGGTAAATATGCACAGATGTGCATTTCACCCTTTTTCAAATGGGGAACCACCTCTTCATCAGTTGAGAGAAGAACATAGCTCATTTCAGTAAGAAACTACAAAAATAAATTGTTGTAAGTAATTTAAGTGACAAAGAGCACTTAAATAACAGTTATCACAGTACCTGAAATTCATACATATTAAGACCACATAATAAAATCCAATTTTTAATTTATTGAAAATAAAATAGGAATGTTAGCAGCATAACACTTACCTCCGTCTGCACTGATTCAGAGGGAAGTCTCACATCAATAAACATCAAGCCGTTTTCCTGCTCAAGTATAGTCTTGTCTTTGGAGATTTCCATCCATATACCGAGCTACGCTCTTCTCTAAGTTACTTCAGATCCTGAACTGGTATCTGTAAGATGAGGAAAACAGTATACTGCATCTATATGGAAGACATTGCTGAAAATGTTATAACTAATCATTTAGAATTGTGACATCATTTCCTTTATCAGGGATTTCAATCAGTTTCCAGTTGGCTCTAGTCCTAGAAGTAATTTAAACAAATATTGCCCTACATATTTTTATTCTCTTAGTTACATCTCTAAAAACATTAAAGACAAGTCTTTTGAAAAACAAAGGTAAAAAAAGAGTCTCACTCAAGAGACTCAAGAAGAAGAATATACTAAAGGCATATTTAAGTAATGTGTACATCCAACAATGGCTTTGTGATAAACTGCATTGCTCCAGTACCCTTGTAAACCATGATCATTTCTCTTTCCAGGAGATCATGGCAGCTTATATTTATCTTAGAAATTTACTGCTATATTTAGCTCTTTTCCCCATCACTGGCTAATTAATGCAGGCTTTAAATAAAACTGCCTGATTTTATTTTTAGGCTGAATCCACATCATTCCAGTTACTGTAACAGCTGTAGTACCTTGTTCAATCTGTTCACTTTTCATCAGAATCTGCTTGGGTTTACAAGTGTATCTAAGGATATTATCTTGGCAGAACAACAATTTGCATGCTTAGTTTGGAATGACAGAAAAAAAACTCTGGCACTCTCTGTGGGCACACTTTCTGAAGAGAGAAGCAGCTTAGCTTTCAATAGCCGCAAAAATCAGCAGGATCAAACAAATTATTACCAGAAATCTCTTTCTCAGTGTGAGGTGCCAATAATCCTTTTCTCTGGTAGCCAGCAGTCTCCTTACCATATTAAAATTGGATTTTTCCTCCACAAAGAAAATGAGGAAGTGTTGCAAAAATCATAAGTATTTTTAAAGCACTGTGTTCTATTACAGCTTCAAAACCAAAAGAATTTAGCTTTTCTCCCTTGTTTTTACATGGACCCCCTCCTATGACGAGGACTGTAAGTACTCCCCTTTTAAACATATTAATGTTTAACACCTCTGCGTGGTGAGAGGATAATCATTATTTTACAGTTAAGGAAATACCCTGAGACAAAAGAATTAAGTGATTTGACACTGGAGAACTTGTATAAAGTTCCCCACAGATTTCCTGTCTCCCAGGTTGGTTATTTAACCATAACGAGCAGTATCCAAAGAGTTTGTAGTTGTGCATTTGACTAGAGGCTTGCTTTTTCAACTGTTCCTATTTCAACTGCTTGGCAAAATACTCAAACTCGGGCTCACAGTTTTACTATGAGCCCAATTTTACTGTTTTATTTGAGCAGAAAATTAGTAGGAAACTTCACTAGACCACTCTCTCTTCCCCTCCACCCATGTTTCTGTATTTTCTGAAAGGACACTCAAATACCTTCATGCTTCAAGGCAGTAGGGAAACGGCACTCCCAAGCTCAGCCTCTCCTTAGATGACCTAGTTCTAGCTTTTCCCCTACCTCTGAGATTTTGTGGGAGGCACTATACCCCCCATATTTTTCAGTCTATGCTGGGAGGCATTTTCTAGGGCAAAGAAAAGGCATACTTCTATTTTCCCCCAGCAAGCAAAACAAAGGCATCACCAGTGGTCAGAGAACAGAAGTGAACGGACACTACTTACATCAGCTGCAAGTAGGAGAGAAATGAGAACTTCCACCTACTTTTACCAATAAACCTGCATTCACTCTCCTTGCCCACATGGTAGCCAAGAGCATGTCTTTCCGTGCTGTATGCAGCAGGGAGCGTAAAGGTGTCAATCAGCATTAACAAATAATATTATATTTCTAACTACAAACAGGCTCTTATTTCACAGAAAATTACTTTTTTTCCAGTGAAATGAAACTATTACATGATAATTTAGCATTTCCTTTTGATAACATAACAGTATCCCAAGCTGAAGGCTGGACAATTATTACAGAAATATCAAGGAATTCCCATAAATCATTATGATCTTAAAATGTGATTTTCAACTCTTTAATGCTCGCATTATCTGCTTGAATACTATAAATCCATTTGTTTTCATGGCATATAGTTTCAGAATTCTATCATAATATAACCACAAACACCATGGCTTTGCTATTGTAACTTCTGAAATCTCCAGGTCACCTAACCCAGGTCTTCTCCATTCCCCCACCAGCCCCATGCACATTTTCTTACATTAAAGGGACATCCAGTTGTATCTAACACGTAGAGTTCAGTAGTTATGGTGAATTCAGATAGTCAGAAATGTTTATTACTGTATTGTCTGCTAGCATAAAGATGATTAGTTTCACGATAACAACCAAAGACTGGAATAGTAACTACCATCTGCATTGATCAGCTAGCAACTTTCAAGCCGAGTATATGGATTGACATACTGCATCAATATTGAACATGGGCCGTCTGTCATGGCACTAATTCAGGCAGAGGAAAAAGGGGAAGAAAAATGAGGAACACTGAGCTAACAATCAGCAACACCCATTTTCAGACTTACTAGAGTATTTTGCTATCATCTGACTGTGCACTACGATCAGGAATACAAATATAATTATGCAAAATCTGTCCTAACATTTGAACATAATGAGTAACCTATCTCACTGATAAATCGTTCAGTGGAATTTTAATCTAGAACCATAAAATTAGTTACCACCTTAGACCCTAAGGTTCAGCTAACAGGATGGCAGCAGTTTCAACAGATGGCGAACTGAAACCCAGATACTGAGCTTGACCGCCACCTGGTGGTAAATAATGGAACAAGTAGTATAACATAATGCCAAGTGCAAATAAACCCGTTTCTGGTGTAATTAATCGGATCCTATTCCAGTGAATGCAAATCAGGTATGAGTTACATTACTTTGAAACTGAAAGGGTCAATGGCCACTTGAATGTCCTACCTTCCCTACCACTGCAGATCATCTGACTTCTCTCCTTTCCCAGAGCCTTTAATGGAACTCATTTCAGTGGTCAGTGGTTTACTTCTAAGTGTCCTTTCTCCATTGCCGTTGTAAATCTGCAATGGTACCTTCTTTTCTCACGAGAGAGTTGATGTCCGTGTTGCATAATACTACATTTACATTCTGGCATGAAAGGACTGGCAAAGGATCACAGTCTGGAAAGAAACTCAGAGTAATTCAGGTATCCAAGAAAATTCCCTCCCCCTCTCTATTAAATAATCACTTTAAAAGAGCATCAGGAACCAGTAAATAAGTTAACAGTTGAAATGAGAACAGAATGTGCTGTGCATAGAAGAGCCCAGTAAGCGAATCCATTACCCTCCTCTGTCATTTTCCTCTCACATTAATAAAGATGCCTACAGCTTTGTCTATCATTTTTATTTGTCCCCCATGAGATTCTGACCAGAGACTATTTCATAAGCAGAAATTTTAAAATAATTCCAAACAAAAATAGAAATTACTTCATAGACATTACATGTTTGAGACTCTACTTAACCAATTTTAAAGAGCAACACATGCCCTTTGGACTTAAGATGCAGATTAAATCTAAAAGGTGGCCAATTGAATCCTATTAAGAATCTTTTTGCTTTGGTTTTTAGTACAGTCTTCCCTTTGCATCTCAGTAGGGTGAGATGAGTTTTTCCCCACAGATTTACTGCCACCTTGGGGACTATCCTTATGTCCAGATCTCTTCAGCTCACAGATTTTTGAAAATGAGGTACACAGAAGGATTCCATTCCATTACTTGCTCTTTTGCCCACACTGTGCAGTGCCACTGTCTCTTCTTCCATAGGAAGATACTAGGAGAGTAAAGTTCATGGAATCAGTGTAAAATTCACATCCTAAAATCAGTGAAGAAATAGGAATAGAACTTAATTTCAAGTCCTGTCCGGCTTCAACAGGTTATCCATGTAAATTTGGCTTTATAATCTAACTAGATCACATACGTGGCCCTGCATATTCCTACCAGCTTGGGAGTAAACATTTTGGCAACCGACTGAGCAACCTCTAGAGCGGAGCCTGAGGCCAGCAGAGATTATGCCAATAACCTGGCAGATGTGCTGCAAAGCGTTCAAGACTCACAGAGATGAGCTCCTTGCTGCAGAGGTGGGCAGGAAATAGGTCCGGCAGGAAGCTCTAGTGCTACCACTGGCAACATCTAAGCTCCATTTCCAGCCAACCCCAGGTGATCCCTAATATTTTCCCTTTTAAATTCTAAACCATCAAAACTGCAAAAGGACTAAAGTGCACTAAAGCTAACTTTCTACTGATCTGTACTGCAATCACTGCATGATCAGCTTTGAAAAAAATCAAAGTACTGGAAATACTTGTGGAGTTCATCTCACAATAGCTTGTTTTACGAGGTCTAAGTAATTCTCATTTCCTATGTTTGCCTTGTGGATTCTCTAGTATCTTAAAAACATGCAAGCACGAAACGAAGCTTAAAAACTCCCCATTCACTTTACCTTATTAGCCCTATGTTTCCACACATTGCAGATAAAAAAAAAAAAAAAAAACTTTCTTCACATTTAGTCAAAAATTGCCTCTTTCATTTTAATGATACAAACATTGATATATTAAAATAAACTATTTTAATCTGTTTAAAAAGCTTTAATTCCATTTAAACAAACTTTTTATTGAAAACTATGTTTTTAAAAATAATTTTTAAGTATTTTTTAAAACTGCCAGAATTTTTTTTTTAAATGAAAACAGGATCATTTCTAACAATTTCAGGTTTCACAACATAATTAGAACATACTGAAAGCAACAAAATAATGTTATTCATAATTTAGAAGTAATGAGTTTAGCTTCACGCAAGACTTACCCAACAACCCCAGACAAGTAAGCTAACCTAGATAGAGAATACATAACAATATCAGAGAATATGGAAGACATATGTAAATACACATTTAAGAAGTCACTATTCTATTGCCTTTTTAAAAAGTATTGATTTTTACAGGCCTGAAAAATAAATCATCTATACATGAAAACTTGCATCAGACAGCTATTTGCATTATAGTAGAGAAACCATCTTTGTTGTTCATACTTC